TCGGTTGTCAATCAATCTCTCCCTCCTTCTACTCAACTAAGTTGTTAGTTTTTAACGCTGTCACTCTATCCCATCCCATTGTGTGTAATTGTGTGTGCAGGTATAACCGAGCTGGGGATCACCAATATTCCCTTATCGTCGCAGACATATCTTAGACAACTGAGAACATATGGCCCTTCAAACATTTGGTCATACTTCAATCATATGGTTCCAGTGTGTAGATGATACGTTCATAGTACTGAAATCGGATTATACCAACGATTTCTTGACACATATAAATTCAGTAGTGAATGCAATCCAATTTACCTATGACTAAGAAAGTGATCAAGGTGAGCTAGCAATGTTGGATTGCAAGATTAAACGAATACAAGACGGAAGTCTAGAGACTAATGTAGTCTATAGGAAACCTACCCATTCGAATCGCTACTTACACTTTATGTCCTCTTACGTCATCTCAGTTAGAGTAAGGACTAATTCAATGCCTAAAAGTAAAATGCTTACTAGTAGACAAGAAAATCTGCAAGAAACTAGACACATCAACAATACCTTGCATCTCAGTAATTACCCACCTAAATTTATGAAGAAATTAATAAGAAATCGAAAAGAAAAACTTTAAGTAATATAGGTGTTTCTTGTAATGATCCTACCACTAATGGTGATGATAATGATGACAGGGTTGAGAGACAATTTAAAGCCATACAAGGAAGGCATCTTTGAAGCATTACGAAGAATTCCCAATCAGGCTGGCTGGGATTTGAGTGGTATTTAAACCAACAAACTCGCTTAGAAATAAGCTTTGCAGGATAAAAGATCCTTTTGGTACAATTATACAAAACAATCTTGTTTACCAAATCCTTTACAATGATTGTGAAGTTAAATACATAGGTGAAAGTAGTCGATCAACCAGGATCGATTAGAATAACAAAGCACAAAATCTTAGCTAAATCAACATTAGTAGATCCTAATAAGATAAGAAATTTAGATAAAAAAAAAAGCTCATCTATAACTCTGCACACCATTACACACAATAGAGTAGGATAGAGCGACAGACAGTATACAAAACTAACAAAATATGAGGAAAACTTGGGGCACTGTGATCGATTGTAATTCCATTTTAGTCTGTTTATTAAAAATATCATACAATGAAGGAACAGTATCATTTACTGGATAACGCACCTTTTCGACACAATCTGTTGTCCATACTCAAACCAAGTAACTCCACAACTTCGAGATAGATTTTATATATTGCTAATTTTCTCTCCTTCTACGTGATGACAAGGGTAGTAGAATTTTCTTTATATCTGGGACAAGTGCAGAATCATTTCTACTACTCCATGTATTTGGTGTTGATTCGATAAACAAAGATTCAGTCGGTTATCAATCAATCTCTCCCTCCCTCCACCCAACTAAGTTTTCTCCCTATCCCACTCTACTATGTGTCATCGCATGCAGAGCTATAGCCGAACTTTTCTCTAGATTTCTTATCTTTTGAGGATCTACTAATCTTGATATAGCTAGGCTTTTGTGCTCTGTTATTCTAATCGATCCTGGTCAGCTGCTTTGACCTATATACTTGACCTCGCAATCATTGCGAGGGATATAGTAAACCAGATTATTTTGCTGAATTGCTTTGATAGGATGTTTAACCTACGAAACTTGTTTCTAAGCGAGTTTGATGGTTTGAATGCCACTGTAATCCCAACCAGCCTTATTGAGAATTCTTCGTAATGCTTCTGAGGTGACTTCCTTGTATGGTAACACAACAGATGCTTTGAATTCTTTCCTAACCCTTTCACTATTACCATCCTTAGTAATAGAATTACTATTAATAACACTTGCATTACTACTACTATTATCACTACTTATATTTTTCTTTCGGTTTCTTGTGAATTTACTTATCAATTTAGGTGGGTAATTATTGAGACGTAGACTTGACATGTCCAATTTCTTGGTGTCAATTTTCTAGCCTACTAGGAAGCTTTCCCACTCTATCACTTAGGTATGTAACTAAGTCTACACTAACTGAAATCGGGTGGGAGGATTCGAAGTCTGAGTAACCATTCAAATGGGAAGGTTTCCTATAGACGACACTAGTCTCTAAACTTCCGTCTTGTCTTTGTTTAATCTTGCAATCCAATACTTGATAGGTCACCTTCGTCACTTTTTTAAGTCACAGCTAAATTGGATTGCATTCACTACTGAATTTATATGTGTCAAGAAATCGTTGGTATAATCCGATTTCAATACTATAAACGTATCATCTACATATCGAAACCATATGCTTGGAGCAGGACTAAATGTTTGAAGGGCCACCTGTTCCCAACTATCCATAAATATGTCCTATCGTCTCGAAAAAGCTTACTAGTAGGTCAAAAAATCTGCGACAAGAAATTAGACACATCAAGAATAGCCTACGTCTCAATAATTACCGATGAAAATCCATCAATAAATTCATAAGAAATCGAAAGAAAAATATTAGCAGTGGTAGTAGTAGTAATACAGGCGTTATTAATAATAATCCCACTACTAACGGTGGTGATAATGGCGACAGGGTTAAGAGAGAATTCAAAGCATCTGCTGTGTTACCATACAAGGAAGTCACCTCAGAAGCATTACGAAGAATTCTCAATAAGTCTGGTTGGGATTACAGTGGCATTCAAACCATCAAACTCGCTTAGAAACAAGTTTCGTAGGTTAAACATCCTATCAAAGCAATTCAGCAAAATAATCTGGTTTACTATATCCATCGCAATGATTGCGAGGTCAAGTATATAGGTCAAAGCAGCTGACCAGGATCGATTAGAATAACAGAGCACAAAAGCCTAGCTAAATCAAGATTAGCAGCAGAAATTACAAAAGAAGCTCAGCTGTAGCTCTGCACACCATAACACACAGTAGGATGGGATAGAGTGACAGCGTTAAAAACTAACAACTTAGTTGAGTAGAAGGAGGGAGAGATTGATAATCGAATGAACCTTTGTTTATCAAATCAACACCATATACATGCAGTTATAGAAATGATTCTGCACCTATCCCACATATATGGAAAATTCTACTACCCTTGTCACCACGTAGAAGTAGAGAAAATTAGGACTTTATAAACTCTGTGTCAGGGTTGTGGAGTTGGTTGCCTGATATGAATATGGACAATAAATTGTGTCCGAGAAGTACGTTATCCAGTAAATGATACTATTCCTTCACTGTGTTGTGACATTTCTAATAAACAGACTAAAATAGGTCACACCTACTCGATGCCGATGAGAATTTAATCAGTTCTGAGACTTAGGAACTGGAAAACTGTAGTGCTTAGTAACTGGTGAATAAATCGTGTAATTTAGTACACACTCAAACATAAACTTTTAGATTTCAAGGTAGCATTATTCATGGGATGGGATTAGTTGGAAAACGAGTGAGTAAATAAGAGTACTGGAACCATGTTTACACCGATTTCGACACTCCTTAAGAGTGCACACCCATTACATCATAAGGGATCAGACCTACAACTATGAAATCTCTAGAATACTCTACCATTCACTTGATGGTTCACATTTTCCTACTTTCATCAAATCATGATAAATTGAGACCATCATCCATCCAATGAATGAAGAGCTGTGACTGTTAACAGAGTCGGATGTGAAGACAAATACTCGTTGATGCTACTGAATAATGTTAGGACTATTTTGCGATTTGACAAAAGTCGAAGAATCTGTACGATCAGGTTTCAACCCAATGGGTAGCTCGTAACGTGCTCGTTATGAGAATTGATAGTTATGGCCCCAATCCCTGACGGCGTAAAGAATGCAGAGGAGTCCAGCACTAGAGAGAAAGAGTTATCTAAGTCTTCAGTAGTTCTCTAACTAAATTTAATCAATTGTCATAAACCGCCAAATTGAATAGACCTTTCAACCACATCTCTTGCTTAGTTAAATAGAGAATAAGACAATATGCACACTTAATCTACAGCTAAGTATTTAGAACACTAAAATCAGAACTAAAATGTAGTAACACACCGTTCAGCTAAGGAAATATCGAAGACTTAAGGCTTCCTAAGTAAGATGAGAAAAATAGCGAATAATTATACAACTGCACCCAGTACATATCTATGTAATGTGCTTTGAGCCACACAGGTTGTGATACTACCAGCCCAGTAGGAGCTCGGCAGCTCGAGCAATTCCAAGTCAACGACTCACTGGTTCAATGTCAGATACCTGTGCTAATGACACAGTTTTCGCATAAATAGACAACAATGAAGCTCGCAAACAAGCGTTGCCACACTTCACACAAGCAAATAACAAGTGGATAGATAAAAAAAAAAGTGGATATCAAAGTAGATAAAAGTGAATGGAAGGAAAACGAAATTGAAAGATTTTTCGACCACTGATTCCTTCCATCTCGATGACTCCGACTAACTAGTCTACCTCTTCTTCACACGGCTTAAACCACCAGTCTCTTCCAACCTAATCCACTTTCCCCTACTAGTATAGCACATCGGAGTAGATGACGGCTCAGCATACGCAGTACATATCCAAGCCATCTCAGCCAACTAAAGTTCACAATTTCAACAATCGACTTGATTCATTCAAGCACGAGCAATGCTACGAAAACACACTTATGATCAAAACTGAGTAACCACTTCATGGCTATGTCTCTTAGCTGCATAACAAGACAGAACGGATTGTAGTGTAGTATATCCGTGCACTTATCCGATTGATGCATGCCAGTATTACAAAAACCATCGATACGCAAATAAAAAAAACCAGATGTATTGTATTAAGGAAATGATTATTCAATTAGCGCTAACACCACACACACACACACACACACACACACACACACACACACACAAAAGACAAAAAGTAGCCAACAAATAAAATGAAGAACAGAGAGAGAATATATCCATTTTCTTTTCAAAATCACAGATGATCATACCGATAGTGAAAAAAAAAACCAGCAAAAAGGAGAAGGGCAGCGAAGGGGAAAAGTTATTTATTCCTATATCTTTAACTGATTTCGTATTTTTCTGTGTAGAAATTAGATTCACATGAAAAAACGATCGGCGTATCCTGATTGCCAACAGTCGCCTCCATGATCTAAAGGTAAAGAGAAGAAGGAGAGAAAGGAAGAGTACGCGCATAATGAATAAGCATATACAATCGATAAAATAAGCCTTTACAAAAACCAAACCAAATGATCCATGTACAACTACCAATCACCCTTACAGCAGCACCAAATAACACCACCGTTTTCACAAATAGAAGTTATATATCATGCGAAATACTGCCCTTCTTTTTTAGCATCATATGTTAATTATTATTACTATTTGTCCCTTGGGTTCCTAATGCAACATAAAGCTTCAGTAGCACATCTCCATTTCACTCCCTTCTCTGAAATGTTTTGAACCTGGCTCAGCGACTGCCCACAACTTCTCATTTCTACGTCACATGATCTCCATGTCACCCTCACCACCGACGCCCAACTGGTCGTTTCCCATTTGGGTTCCACTAGAGTGCCTGGCCTGTCGCGTGATGTCCGCAGTCGGCCTTATCAGTGTATGCCTAATCCATCTCCACTTCCTGCCACTGCATACTTGTTGAGTGATAGGTTCTGGCTTCGTTGGTTCGTCGTCGGCCAGAGTTCCTTGTTGATTATTCTTTCTGGCCATCTGAGCTTCAGTAACGAGCCAGCTTAGGCAGTTGTAGATGAATGTCTGTAGTTTGTTGAAATTGCTTTTCGTAACGCGCCAAGTTTCTGAACCATACAGGAGCAATTTCAAGTTGGTATTTATCTTGGATTGACGTCAGTTAGAAGAACACTGGAAATTTGAAAGCACTGGACAACCAGCCAGCTTTTCCGTCCTAGTATGGGACTTCTCAGCAATGCCCACGCATGACCCCGCACCACAACGGATCAAACTCGAAACCTTCAGGTTCCGTGGCCACCACGTTACCATTGAGCTAATTACTGAGTCAGAGTCCAATCGTCCATATTCCCAATTTCTGTCAGTTCACGATATAGCACGACCGTCACCCAATGCCATTAGGAATCACCTCTCGAAACTAATCGCTAATGAGTATCAGATTAATTCAATTTGTAGGTATTTAATGATTTCAAGCCGGTGTTCATCATGGACTGACATCAGTTAAAGGAACATTGGAGACCTGGGAGTATTGGACAGCTGTAGACCATAGCCTCGGTGGCTTGTGTAATGCATGTCGTCCTAACAGATTTCACATCGTCCATTGTTTATTAACCGTGAGCCTAGGACTGGATGGAAGAAGCGGAGAACTGGTCAGTGTATGATGTGGTGGCATGGGATGAAGGATAGTTGTATTAGGTTAGCATCTGTTGGTGCATCACGACTCCATACGTGGAGGTGGGATTATGCAAGTGACTGGCTTGAGATGTTATCGGATATGGCTCAGAAGTGAAACCAGTGGTAGTCATGCTCTAGCTCCCTTCAATCATCTGCTGCTGGTGAAAAGCAATAAATGTTTACTTTTGGATGTACACAACTTGTTTTTATATAATTTCGTATGGCATATTTCTTGGTTCGCTTGCTGTTACCATATTTGTGTTGTAATCATATAAACAAATGAAGTCAACTATAAACTAGTTGGATTACCAATAAGTTTCGATTTCTACCTTTTCTAACTGCTAACAAATGTGTACAACATGAAATGAGTCAAAGTATACTCCCTACATAAGACTCACGAAGTGACTAACCTAGATTCCACTGCTAGCCACTATCCATCATTACTATCATTAGAGCACAGATAATATCGAGGCATCCACACAGGAGCCTATATACCAATAGAGATCCATCAATCCGATGCAATCAACGACGGTATAATATAAAAACAATTATATTAAGAATCATACCCATCGCATAGTGGCTCGTTGGTGTGGTGGATAAGCCTCTCACGTTTGACGCGATCACTCTAGAGTCCCGGTGGGAACAACATCATTCACCGGGAAGCAGAGATATCCAATTGATCAGTCCTAAATTGGACGAAATGCCCATCCTAGATTCCACTGCTAGCCACTGCCTATCATTATTATATCTACTAAATATTCTAAGAGAATGAAACTCTTTTACATGAGAACAAAATTGTCTAAGTTTCTCTTTTTTATATACTAAGAAGATAATGTAAACTGAAAATTCTTTGTTTGTTTGGTTTTTTTATCAAGGTAAAATACAGCGGCCTGCCTCAATGAATCTTGAGTTACCCAAATTAAATATATTCTTCATTTTAGTGTTATTGCTTGTATTACACCGTCGTTGATAGGACCGAATTGATCAGCCTCTGTTGGCATATGGGCTCCTATGAGGATGCCTCGATATGGCCTGTCTTTTAACAATGTTTAGTAATGATGCGCATTTCGTCGTATTTGGGACTCGTCAGCTGGATGTACCTGCTTTCCAGTGAGTGATGTTGTTCCCACCGGGACTCGGGAGCAATCGCTTCAAACGCCAGCGCGTTATCCACTACACCACCGAGCCACGATAGCCACTTCTTGTGCAACATCACTCACTGGGAAGCAGGTACATCCAGCTGACGAGTCCCAAATAAGACGAAATGCGCATCCTGGATTCCACTGCCCATCATTATTAAATATATTCTTCATTATTATTATTCCTTTTCACTTGGTCTTTAATCTTTTAAATATGCATTCTAAGTGTATCATAATACTCTTGAAAAACAATTTTAAATGTTTTCATACTATCAACTTTCTACAGCTAAGAATAAAACGAAGAAAAGTAAACCATATGTCGAATGGAAATGGAAGATACAACACACTACCACCAATTCCTACTGTGCCTATGTTCGTAGTGGCTGACTGAATTACCACCATCAAAATTATAACATATGTTGTTTAAAATAAAGCGATTATTATTATTATTATTATTATCATCATTACTATTCATGTCAACATTGTTTCTACTACTACTACTACTACTACTATGATTATTTTAAATATTACCATCACTACTATCACTATTATTATTACAGTTGTAATCATTACTAATGTTACTATATAATCTTTATGATTACCATTGTTATTATTGCTACCGTTACCACGGCTATTATTACTATTATTATCGATAGTGTTATCATAGCCATCATTATCATTACCATTACTACCATCATTACCATTAATACCATTGTTTCCACGATTACTATCCTGATTATTATTATTCCTAATACTTCCATCATTATAATCACTGTTGTAACAACTATCATCATTACTGCCATTATTACTACTATTACTATTACTACCAATATTGTTGTCACTGCTACCATTATTATTACCACTACTACTGTTAATATTCCTATCATTACCACCAGCGTTACCGTCACCGCTACTATTGCTATCAATATTCCTATTACTGTCTCTCTTATCATCACTATCATTATTATAATTATCATTATTACTACTATCGTTAACACCGTTATTACTATTAACACTCATCAGTCCATCCAAATCAACATAGGACCAGCCATTACTGCTTAACAGGTCCAACTTGCCACACCTCATATCAGTACATCAAGTGAAAAGGCAGTGAAGTGAAAGATGAAGAAAAGAAAATTCAGTCAAAAGTAATATAAAGTACTAAAAGAAAGAGAGAAAGGGAGGATGACAAAATGGCGAGATTCCGTATAGAGTCGTTAACATGAGGATAATGTGTGTGTGTGTGTGTGCATACATCTGCGCCACTGACATCGGTTCTCAGCCATGTGATCACCTGTAGTCGGCCTCCACCACACACTGGTTTGTCTTGCCCCACCAACCCCAACCACCCAGTCTGCATCACCCCACATGGCTCAAACCAACAGTCAAACACTTCATACATTGATGCCACACTCTACTCTGGCTGCCTAGAGTCTTTTTCCAGTCTGAACCTACTTCGGTCAACATTGTGTGATGAGGCAGATGGCCACTGGGTACACGTAACACATGTCGCAACCAGCCATCTCAGTCGATGAAGGTTCACAACCGTGTCAACTGACTTACCTCTTCTCCCTAAAACTCTGACTTCTGCATTACTCACCTGATGACACCATGGACTACGGTCTATACTACGAAGGCAACGGTGGTCAAACACCTGAAGCCAGCTTTCTCATGTCTTCCACCTTCAATTGACATGTTTCACAGCCATACACAGTAGAACAGATTGGACTGCTGTGCAGTACACGCCACCCTTAATAGACAAACGGATACCATGGCGGCGCCATAATATCATCATTTTAATCACCATTATCTTTGCTATTACTACCATTATTGTTATTATTACTATCACTATTTGTATTATGATGATTATTACTGCCATTATAATGATAGCAATCATTATTAATGTTATTGTTAAATGTAATAAAACGCAAATATTAAAAGTGTTCAGGATTTCTACTTCCAAATACTTTCGTATTTTAGCCGTGAAATATACGACGTTTTATGCGCGCCATTTCAGTGAACACTTAAATCTATAAGGATGACTGATTTGGTTTATCGAAATTGATAACTACATTTCTACACTGATGAATAGATTGTGTTGCTCAATTCTTTTTATAGGAGAATCCTCTATATCAATAGGAAATGAATCAATTATGAAACTGTAATAGAAAAGTAATATAAAATAAAGGCTATATGGACAAGTATACAATCAAACCTTTAAATCATGTTGTTCAGTGGAAGTAGAGGTGACATATATTGTTTTAATCTCCTTGGTGGCTACCAGTGAAATCCAATACATGCGTTTCGTCTTATTCCGGACTCGTCAGCTGGATGTGCCTGCAGTGTAGTGAGTTATGGTAATCCCAATGAGACTGAAAAATGCAGGAGATGGCAAGGATCAAGCAACACCTGATACTTATTGGACTAGTAGATAACGGCTTTGACATTTGGAGCGGTCAGTATCGAGTTCGAGTCCTAATGGGAACAACATTACTCACTAGGAGGCAAGTACTTCCAGCTGGCTAATGCAGTCAATTCAAAAAGTAAATAGCCGCTACAATTTTCAGTATTGGAGACACAAAAGAGATAGTCTATTCACAGTGGAAAACTTATTCTATGATTGTAGTGGACTAGATCATGCAACAGACAGTGGTGAGCGAGAAGAGGGGATACGCTGGCTGGACCGAGGAAAAGAACCTAGAAGATTTCGATTTCGCCAATGATGACTTGTGTGTAATGTCACACAAACTTGACTATCTGCACGCGAAAACTAACAAGTTGACAGAAGAGGTAGAGCAGGGCAGCGAAGACGGAACTTCAAGTGAGTGTAGAGAAGACAGAGGTGGTGAAGATAACCAACAATAACAACAGGCTTCAATCACCATGAACGGGAGAGATCTAAGGGAAGTAGCCTCTTTCACCTACCTAGGCAGGGCAGCATCATTTCAACTACAGGCGGTGGTGGCACAGACGAGGACGTCAAAGCCAGATAGGATCGGAAAAGCAAGACACGTCTTCATTAACCTGAAACCAGTGTGGAGATCTTCTGCACTGCACTCAGCATAAGGCGTGCGTGAACAACATCCTGGTTTTCAACACTAAGTCAGCTAAGTCAGTGCTTCAATATGGCTCAGAGACTTGACGCGTTAGGAAAGGCATTTCCAACAAACTACACACATTCATCAACAACTGCCGCCTACGCTGGTTCGTAACTGAAGCTCAGATGGCCAGAATAACAAGAATAAGCAACAAGGAACTCACTCTGGGAACGAACCACCAACCAAGAACCCATCGCCAAACAAATATGCAGTGGAAGGAAGTGAAGATGGATTGGGCATACACTGAGAAGGCCGACTGTGGACATCACGCGTCAGTGCAAGCACTCGAGTGGAACCCAGATGGGAAGTGACGAGTTGGGCGTCAATGGTGAGGGTGACATGGAGGAGATTGTGTGAGGAAGAAATGAGAGGTTGTGGATAGTCGTGGAACCAGGTTCAAAAGATTTCAGAGAAGAGAGTGGAATGGAGATGTGCTACTGAAGCCCTATGCTCCACTAGGAACCCAAAGGACAAATAAATAATAAATAAATTACCCTTGGTATTATTACCTTTATTCCACAATATGGTTTATTCGATCTGAAGTTTAATTTCAATGGGAAAAACTGTTCCGCTTGAGAACTTCGCTCTGTTTTTAATGTGAATTCAATAGATCCTGATGGATTTTCATTATTGACAATTGGTAAGCGCCAATCCAACTGAGTTTTACGCGGATTCAATTCATACTCACCATCACAATTACCAATAAGTGGTGGTTTAGATGAAGGGCTATAAACAAACAGTAAAATCAAATATTAACATATTAATATAATGCAAAGTATGATATAATATAACAATATAATATAATGGTATAATAGTATAATTTAACAGTATAATAGTATAGTAGTGTAGTATAGTGGTATGGTAGTATAATATAGTAGTATAATAGTATAATATAATAGAAAGTAGGTGAAAGAACTTTTTTCTTAAAGGATGAATTAAAATAGCCAACATCATATTGAGCTTATTCAAGTATTTCTTTGAATATAACTTCGCTGCAATTTCATCATTCTGTCGTGTTATACAGCTAAGAGATATGGTGGATAAAAATAGAAGACATAAAGCGATTACAAAGTTTTCATCACATATGTCTTCGTAGCATTGGTCACGTTTCAAGGAATAACTTTGAGCAATGTCCAGGTCAGGCGTAGGGTACTCAGCAAAAAAGACAAGTTGAGGTTGAAAGCCTTCATCAATTGAGATAGTTTAGATATGGGCTGAGCAGGCTGAATCATCGCTTACTTCGATGTGCCATAACTAGGGGAAAGTGGATTAGATTGGAAGAGACTTCATGGTGCTCAGGCTAAGACGCGATACCAGTCAGTGGAATCCCTGACTAGTGGTTTAAGTCATGTGGGGAGACTTACATTGCCTGGTTGTGGTCGCTGAGACGACAGGAACCAATGGTTGAGGACTTTCGGTGAAATGGCTGAAAATCAGGTGGCGTTTAAACCTATTAGCTATGCCTAGCATGAGACAATAAACAATACCAATGAGACATTGCATCGTTCATGTATATAATCAAATCACTATACCGGATTATTCGGTCCTAAGGCTCAAAAATAATGAAGGTTAACCAGTGATCGAAGCGATAAGCACAGGTACTTAAAGGCTCGAATAACCTTCGTTAACCTACACCACTTATGGAACTGTTATGGAAATTCGATTGTCTGTTTATAGGCAGAGTACACTGCTCTGCAGTTCATCAATCTGTTCGATCATTGTTGCCTTTGTAGCGCTGTCTGTCTGTGTCACAGAACCATCGCATTATTAACACAGAAGTCAAGTGTAGAGTCTTAGGCAGAAGACGAAATTCAATTGACGAGGTTATGAACCTTCATTGGCTCACATGCCTGTCTCACGTATGCCCTTTTATGGCAGGCAGGCTTATGGAGCTGTGACTCACTGGTTTGGTTTACGCAGTTGACTTTTAACGAATGGGTCATGCAGTCAAACACCCTCCTTTCCACCTGCCGAGTTGTGGGCAGCCAGGTAGTATGCAGGGAAGTGCACAAGGTTGCTTAGAGTATTCCGATTCCACACGTAAGCTGTAGAAAGGCTAAAGGTTCCATCAATCCAGCAGCTGTAGCTGCTCCGCGACCGACTCTAAGTCCTTGAGAAAGACTGTGATGCCTCCATCCTAGAATACTGCAGGCCACGGAATCTTCATCACGTTGAGAGGCAGCGACACCAATCAGAAGAAGCAAGAAGACAGATACGAAGGAAGGAATGTTTACTGTCAATAAGTGGGACAGTAATTGTTAAATAAGGTACACCTTGCACTAAAACCGTCATTTGCAAAAGGTGCTTCATTTCCTCTTCTGCTTCTCTCTTGATTTGCTCTTAATACGCTAACATTGTCTCTTGCGTTTATCTTGGCGGAATCTTTACCCATTGCTGGTAATTCCCTATGATTTCTGCCATTCTCTCAACATATACTACTTATATCCATTCTTATCACCAACGCCCACTAAAATATGACTTAGGTAGGGGGATGTTGTAATCACTGCGACAAGCAAAATCAGTGGTAGGAAACTGTAAGTGAATGTAGCTAAGAATCAATCTTAGCGATACCAAACGTTGATTAAAATCCAATTTTTATACCAAATTTTGTTGTTTTACTTGCTCTTTGTCTCTTCTTATGACTTTGTACAACACTTGGCAACGTTAATTCCTTCCCTACCTTGTGCTCATTAACTGTGTCGTCCTTTTTATTTCTTTAGTTTTATACTACTTGGTATTGTTGAGTAGTATAATTCATATTTCTCTGTAATGTTACTTTTGTTTCGATCGTATGTTGTTCACCATGTAACGCCCTTAGACATTAGTACCTTTCCGGGTTCATGATAGTGTTGGGATTGCTTTTGTTATTCCCTGATGTTCTATTTTACCTTGGATATTTTTTTAAAATTTCGTTTGTTCACCTCGTCATATAAACATATCCCCCATCTCTTATTTTCCCTTCTGGTTTGCTTTGAACGTAGGCTTACTGGTATTTTTTCCTGTTGGTGCTTTGACAACGATGAACGCACAGATACCTCACAATTCAAGACAAAAAACCAGCGTTTTGTAACTTTACGCATAACTTGAGCATTTGGTTTACTGTGTGCAGAATCGCTTTGGTTTCGAATTTCTTGGTGCTATGACCGGTAGTATGACCTAATACTCTATGAGCCTAGTAGAGTACGAACAATATGAAGCTAACACGGAGCGAACCAACTCTAACGCAAATCAGAACGTCAACCTTCACAACAACAATACCACAGACGCGTGAAGAGAAGACAGGCTGTTGAAAGAGAGTTTTCCACTGTCTGAACAACAGTCCAATCCCAACAAATCAAGGTTTGAATTATTTACAGAGCATGTACCAATGAATTGGGTCTCATGGAAACCGATGTTACACTTTAATTGCCCACTTTGTTGAAATTTTTTCGTCATAAGCGCTGACTGCAATTAGATTTGTCTTCTCCATGGTGGCTATTCCCGATTTCTGCAGTAGATTCTCTGATATAATTGTTATATCTGATGCCGAGTCTACTTGAAAACGTGCAGGCTAGGAGTTGATCATGACATCAATATATTTGTGTGGTGTGTGAGTACTGATGTTGTAGGTGGTTGTAATACTCATAGACTTTGGCCTGGGACGTCGACGAGGTCGGCTTCTGGACTTTGGTCGATTATTCTGTGTGCAGTACTCATCTTTGTGTCCACCCAGTATGATGCCGTCATTTATTTATGATGTTTGAACGGACACGATTTTACATAGTACCAAGCGCCACAGTGGGCGGTTTCTGACGTGGTGAGTTCGACGTCGAAGGTACTGGATGCACCGCATGCACTTAAACCGCCGGAGTGAACCAAGGTGATGGTCTTTACGAAGGTTGATTAGTCGTTGATACTCTTCTCCAATATCTTTCAATGTCATTTGTAGGTTCCGATCTAATTTGTTTAACAGGTGTGTTTGTATATCGGTGAATTGTGGGCACTGAAGCCCACAAATAAAGATTAAGACTTTAAACTGATCTTCGGTAAGTGATTTCAACTTGAAACGTTCACGGGTGCGGTTGACTATACCTAATTGCGTGTGAATATCGTCATTTTCGATCAACATTAGCTTCATGCAGTGGTAACATATGTTAAACAACGACCTGTTGTCACCAAACTGATGACGAAGTGTTTGCACGGTCTCCTCAAACGTTCTATCACCAGGTTTCTGAGACAGGATTAAATCGCAATATTTGTCCAGTTTATTTGCTCCCAACTTTGGAAGCAACAATCCGACCTTCCATGCACCGTCTCTGTTTGCAAAGTCTTCTTTGAACAAGTATTCGTATCTGCAAGACTATGGATCAAACTTTGCGTTTACATCTGGGTCATAGACAAATTCGGATATGCTGGTACCGACGTTGTCATTGGCTCGAGATGAATCGACTGGGGAAGATATCCATAAGCCAGCAAGCGTGATGGATCCATTTCAAAATACACCTATCACCAATTTGCTATGACCAGTAGTACGATGTAAAACTCTACGAGTGATACTAACCTAAGGCTCAGTGAAGCGACTACAATGCAAATCAGAACGTCAACCTCCCCAACAACACTTGGAAAGGAATTCTTCACAGGTAATTTTCTTCCCTATTCCTTCCTGTGTGGCTTACACCCTGATGTATTGATGTGAAGTGTGGTGACCTGGACCACTAAACAGTAAGATCAGATCTCATGATCTTGCTGAATGATATATCAATGTATCACAATAACAATAAAAAACAACTTACGGCAACGGTATCGACATGACTAGGTTTTCCAACTCTAATTCTGTATCCTGTAGCTCGTATTCTACGTTTACTTCAAAACCACCGGGGATTTCATTCGGCCAACAGTTAACTACAAGAAGCAGTAAGTATAATGATAAGAAATAAAGATTACTGAATGTATTAGCAGATATATAAGTAAAAAGAGCATTATTTCTATGCGGTCTCCATCATATGCTGATATTACAGTTGAAAAAGCACTGAAGAACTAAAAGTACTGGACAGATGTTTTGCTTCAGTTTATGATTCATCAGCAGCACACATTTGGAAACATCATTTCTTGCAACGAACACACTATCATTCACGTAATCATACTGTTGGGTGGATATAAGCTGTCTGATTAGGGTCCTTGTGATACCAGGAATCAATGACTGAAGACTCTTTCTTCTATGGTTTCAAATCGATCATTATGATGTAAATGTATACATTCTTTGTCATCTTTGAAGTCTTGAATACTTCCGATAGAATGGGTCGATCAGTTTTGTGGATCATTACCTAACAGAAGATGATGGGCTAGTTGTAAATCGAGTCCAAACAGCTATTGGGTAATTCCATGTTAGTTACTCGGTCAAATCATACTCTAGTGTATTCTATCTACATTCAGTCCTCCAAATGGTTATTTAGTCATAATCGAAATTCCTCTTCGTTGAACAATCAATCAATTAGGTTGAAACAGTGGTAACAAGAGAAAAAAAAGTCTGCTTCAAAATGTTCACATGGAACAAGTTTGTGGGAAACCAGGTGAAAATGTAATACCCTGTCATCCATATATATATATATATATATATATATATATATATACATTTGTCCCTTGGGTTCCTAATGGAACATAGGGATTCAGTAGCACGTTTCCAGTGCACTCTGTTCTCTGCAAACTTTTGAACCTGGTTCCACGACAGCCCAGAAGCTCTCATTCCTTCCTTGCACGATCTCCTTCATGTCACCCTCGGATTCAGTAGTACGTCGACATTTCACTCTCTTCTCTGAAGTCTTCTAAACCTGACTCCATGACTGACCATAAGCTTTTATTTCTTCCTCATATGTTCTCTTCCATGTCACCCTCACGCGCGCAACTCATCCTTTACCATTTCGGTTCCACCCGACGGCCTGGCGTGGTGAGTGATTTCCCCAAACTATCTTCTCAGTTTATGTCGAATCCATCTCCACTTTTTTCTCCTGCAAATTTGTTGGGCAATAGCTTCTTGCTTCATTGCCAGAGTTCCACATTGAACATAATAAGGTACTAACCGCTTTTTATAATGATAAGGTAGAAATGATTAAGCAAAAGGCACCTTATCAAACTTAATCTAGCGAATTTCTCACCTGTTATTGGAATAGCACCTTCATCTTGAGTTTGGAAACGCCATCTTAATATTCCAACTTCTTGACCATTAGGCAATGGTTTACCGCCAGGCTTGATTTGAATCCATCCAGTAGACTGTGAGGTGAAAGACACGACAATAACATATTGCAGAGTATTTTAGTATAGCGTTGAAGTGTTTGAAAAACTTAGCAAACTAGACTAGTCATAGACATAAATTTCCAGTTTTCAGTACGTCTGAATTGCGATTATCAAATATTTTCAAAACAACACTACAAGGGAAACTCCAGTTAAGGGAGAAGAGTATAAAAGTCGAGAAGCACATATTATTGAACAAGAGAAAGGGATCAAATACGATGGTATAATATTGCTGTGATTTCAGTCAGTTAGAACTGGGTTGTAACTTCACTAGAGAGCAGAAAGATAAGAAACAAACAGACAGACTACCACAGAAGTCCATCACTTCAGCTTGCAATCAATCAATATCAACATAGGAATAGGTATTACTGCGTAACGGTAAAACTTGTCACACCTCGTATCAGTATATCAAGTAGAAAGGTAGTGAGGTGAAAGATGAAGATAAGAAAATTCAGACGAAAGAAATATAAAGTACTAAAAGAGAGAAAAGAAGAATGAGAAAGGTGGTGAGATTCGGCATAGAGTCGTTAAAATGAGGATGTGTGTATACATCTGCGCAACTAACTTCGGTTCTGAGCCATATCACATAGAGTCAGTCTCCAACCACTGGTTCCTCTTGTACCACGGACCCCAACCGACTAGTCCGCATCGCCCCACCACTCGGCTCAAACCAACAGTCACAGACTTCATACATTGGTGTCATGTTTTAGTCTGGCCACCTCGAGCCTTTTTCCAGTCTGCACCTACTTCGGCCAACATTGTGTGACGAAGCAATCGGTGACTAGGCATACGTAGTACGTGTCCCAGCCATCTCAGTCGATGAAGGTTCACAACCGCGTCAACTGACTTACCTCTACTCTCTAAAACTCTACTCCTGTCTTCTGCATTACTCACGTGTTGACACCATGGAATGCGGCCTATACTTCACTCACAGTACCACACAAACAACACGTAAATACAAACAAGACTCATATCAAAATAGACAAACTTCTGTGAAACAATAAACAATTTCAAAAAATACCTTAGCACAAATATTCAAACTTTAAATGTCAAGGAGTGAATACATCCACCCCCATCATTCTCACCGATTCTCACACATGTCACCACCACCAAAACTCATCAACTACTTCACTACAATCATATCGCAGATCCCAAACACACAATCTACATCTCTCCACATAACTATCACCAACAGTCAGAGACTTCATCAACTCCTATCACATCTTCGTCTCGTCTCGCCACCCCTCAACCTTCTCCAAAACTAATCTTACTTCACCCAGTATCCCACATCGAAGTAAGCAATGGACAGCATAGACGTGCACACTGCATGCCCACTACAACTCATCTCAGTCAGCTAACCTTCACAACCTCATCAATCGACTTCCCTGTCTTGCCTATTGCCCATCACCTGATATCAACATTCTTCACACAGTGAGTCTATCAAACGCCACCAATGGTATGAAGACATCTGTTGTCAAAACCATGTAATCACTTCATTTCTTCTGCCCTAAATGGCCATTTCTCACAGCCGTATAACAGGACAGAACGGACTGCAGAACAGTACACTCGTCCTTTGATAGATAGTCGGATATTTTGTCAGTTGGTGCCACAGATGACGCATGTTAGCATACACCAAACGGTCCTACTGTATCCGGGTTGAAAGTTCATCGACAACCTACCCCGCTACCCGTTCGGTCTGATGCAACTAACCAAGTATGTAAAGTGGTCAACATATTCCTGTACTAGGACAAAACAGCTGTACAGTGCCCCCAAGTCTCCAATATTTCTCCAACTGACGTGTCAGTCCGTGATGAACACCAACTTGAAGGAAAGGACCCACCTGATTCACATATAATGTACTATATCAGGTTTAAATTAAGAGCTACCAACTTTCGATTTGGAAACGGATAATGTTAGAGGTGTGTGTGTGTATGTATGTGTGCATGTGACGTTAGAGACGAGAACCTTATGAGAAGAACTAGAAGTGAGCATCTTTTTCACTTATGATTATGAGCGTGGCTCACACTATTCAATATTGAACCAAACAATAGTGGAGACAAAGATCAGTACAGTTGAGTTTCATAAGAACCATAGATGGATGATGCGATGAAACAACTAAACTTATATCTATCCATAATCTGACGAGAACTTTGGTCGCATTCGGATTCGAACTAGCGCTCTATCAACTGAGCTACAAGACTCCCTTGATGATCGGGTTTGAAGTTCACTTTGATCATTAACAACTCTATGGTTGGTTGTCCTGTTACAGTTGGATGATAAGTAATGGTCACTATATCAGCTGAAGACACAGGTAGTCTTGTCTCAATCCAAATCAAACAGGGGCGATGTAGGAACTAGTTAAGATAGTTGTGGTCCGGCACATTTGTATCAATAACACTAGGCTGAATAGTAAGGAGGTCACTGGCTTAAATCCTACCATGAAATCAGTTTTCACTTCATCCAATTATCAATAATACCAGTCCACTGAATTATAACTATAGTCTCATCAATAACCTTATTTATACATTCAGTAAAGTATCCACTTGGAGACTGAAGTTTTTTCTATCCAAGGATAAAACTATAAATCATGCAGTAATTATATGCACATGTCCAAACAAGAAATATATACAGGCAACTTTCACACTACAATTAGAATGAACGGAGAATATTCTTTTCCATAACTTCTCCTTCTTCTTCTTCAGGTTCTACACATCAAGAAGTTATGCGTCAACGATAGTGAAATTCCGCTTATCAGCTTGTTGAAGAAGTCATGAGTGAACCTTAACGACTGAATCCATTTTTAATGGAATTCCATTGAAAATAGACGGTTATCTTATTGACTATACGCTATAATTATTGTTATAACATGGTAGTTGAATAAAACAATAGGAAGGTGTTTATGACAACTGTGCTAACAAGATAGGTTGAGAGAATCAGTTAAAATTATCTCAGATTATAGGGAAGAAGGGGTGTCTACAGTATGGCATCAGGCCATGGCAAAATTTGCTTCTTATGAACACAAAACTCAAGTTGTTTCATCTTGATTGTTACTGCTTCTGCAGTTTGAAGGATCCTGAGCTGAGTACCTTTTGCCAAGTTGATGGGAACATGGTACAGAATAGAAAACGATTCATTCATTTCAACGAGATGTACTAATATGGAACTGATAATGGTCTTTACTACACCTTTACTTAACTACGTTGATGAAAGGGTGTTCGCTAACACGGAAGATTAAATTCCTAGAACACAGGCTGTACATGAGCAGTCGAATTGATAAACACAACAGGAAGTGGCCAGTCTATGTAATTTTTCTTTCAATCTCAGTGTCATCATTGGTCATGTGGGAAAATGTAATTTATGATTTGCCACTAATAAAAGTTCTCTGAATTAGTCTGTGTAGTTTATGAATGTATAGTGATTTTCTGCTAACCGTTGGAATATTGTTTCTTGCCATTTTTATAATCGTATATGTGTTTATGAACTTAGGAGGATAACCATTTTCGATAAAGTTGAAAAGGAAATGGAGAGTTTGCACAATACACAATTATCATAGTTGATCAGAATATGGATTAGGATAAACTATTGAGAAAGTTTAACAGTATACACTCATCACTTGTGAAGAAGAACAGAAGACAGTAGGCTAAATTTCCTTGATATTCTATTAAGTAGACAAGGAGATGGATCACTTCATAGAAGCGTGTACAGAAGAAACAAATCAGCATGTCAATACATACACTTCCTTAGTTTCATTCATACACGAGATAAAAAGAAGAAACTCAGTGAAATGCTTCATAGACAGAGCAAGGAAAATCAGATCAGATGACGGTCTACAGAGTGAGGTTAGAGTGGATTTCGAATTCATTAATGGAAATAGGTTATCCTTACAATTTTAGAAAAGAAACATATGAAAAGACCTGAAACAGCAACTGCTCAAGAAAAAAACACAACCCACGATTTATAAAGCTACAACTTAATAAGGATATACTTAGTGAAATTCTATTCCATAGACTGTCGAGAACCATTAAAAGAAGTTTTTATGTGGCTAACATCTGTTTTTTGTTTTCTGATCGAAGATTTGTTTCATACCAAACGAAGGATAAGTTACCCAGTTTCGCCATTTCCATGAGTATTTAGCAGTTTAATTGTTCCTGTGGAGGTACGACAAAGCAATCTAATCAACATATTGCTGAACACCTACCTTCGTGGTTGTGTCGTATCTAGTTGATAGTGATCATAGACTAGATAAAATGAAACTGTTCAAAGTGATTTACACCGCATACCACTGAACTTTTCCAATGGAGTTCGAATTTGCCTTTTAGATATAGCTGACACCTATGGCGCCGCCGTGATATTCGTTTAAAAAAAAAAAGTCGCGTGTACTGCACAGCAGTCCAATCTGTTCTACTCTATGGCTGTGAAACATGGCCATTGAAAGTGGAGGATACAAAAAAGCTTCAAGTGTTTGACCACCGTTGCCTTCGTAGTATAGGACGTATTCCGTGGTGTCAACACGTGAGTAATGCAGAAGTCAGGTGTAGAGTTTTAGGGAGAAGAGGTAAGTCAGTTGACAAGGTTATGAACCTTCATCGACTGAGATGGTTGGGACACGTACTACATATGCCTAGTCACTGATTGCCTCATCACACAATGTTGACCGAAGTAGGTGCAGGCTGAAAAAAGGCTCGAGGTGGCCAGACTAAAACATGGCACCAATGTATAAAGTCTCTGACTGTTGGTTTGAGCCAAGTGGTGGAGGGATGAAGACTAGGTGACTGGGGTCAGTGGTACAAGAGGAACCAGAGGTTGGAGACCCTAGGTGATATGGCTCAGAACCGATGCCAGTGGCGCAGATGTATACAAACATTATCCTCATCTTAAGAACGCTATACCGAATCTCACTATTTTGTCATTCCTCTTTCCTTTCTTCTCGTACTTCATATTTCTTTTGACTGCATTCACTTATCTTCATCCTTCACCTCACTACCTTTTTACTTGATGTGCTGATATAAGGTGTGGCAACTCGAACCGTTACGCAGTAATGCCTGGTCCTATGTTGATAATAATGATGATGATGATGATGAAATATAGCTGAGGCCATAGGAATTCGAATAAACAATGCAAAGTTCTGTATCCAGAAGAAACGTTTACACTGTTTATCCCTGAGTTGACCAGGAAGAACCTGATGAATTTCATTCTGTCATTGCTTTCACACCACTACTATATTCACATTCAACGCAGTCAACCTCCAGTATGGCACAACCTTTCGGTCTTTTTTTTCTTTTTCAATCTTCGACCTATTTTGTCTCTTTATCTAGCTGAACACCTTTTACAACTTGTATTCCTTGTTGTTGTCTCACAAATTACCTTGATTAGTTCATGTCCTATACATATTTTGGAAGTTACGTATATAACAGTGAATACTAGATGATGACTAGAGGTGAAATGAGAATTCGAACCGTATCAGGATTTAAACCAGCGAGCAATGAAGCGATTTACTCGGTGTTCGCGACTTCAAATCCAACCGCGATTTAAATTTTCATTTCATCTTTAATCATTAACCATTATCTGTCAGTCAACCAGTCTATCAAACCACGGTTGCTATTTCAGATAGCCAAAATGATATAACAGAGAAGCTTGATGACATCTAATTGAAAATAGCATTCTTCGTTTATATGCTTTGTTATAACTTTTATAATGGGGATTTTTAACATTTAGGAAATTCTTATTAACACACCCATTAACTATTAGTACTCACCAGAAAAACTTTTTTATCAATATTTGGATGTGTTTGCAGTTGAACAGGTGGTCGACGTGTATTCGTGGGATTTGTACACATACTTGTATCTGTTTTGATTTTAGCTCCACATACTTCATTTGTATTAGCCTGAGCAAACATTGTACCCTGTAATTCCATACTTTCTAAACCACCATCTCGACCAGCTTGAATGATTAATTTCTCTTCAATACGTAAATGAAGACTGGAAAAAAGAATGACCAGAATAAAACATACAACAGCATAAGGAAAATACACTTTCAACTAAAATGAGGTGGAAACACCAGCAGGACATCCCTACAAACATAACGAACAAAACATAAACATGGAACCCATTGTGTAAAATTGGTTACTACTTATAGTAATCAAGAATGTTTTGTTCAGCTGTAATATATATATATATATATATATATATATATATATATATATATATATATATATATATATATATATAATTCGTCCCTTGGGTTTCTAGTGCAATATACGCCTTCACTAGCACGTTTCCAGTACACTCTCCTCTCTGCAAACTTTCGAACCTGGTTCCACGACTGCCCACAACCTCTCATTTCTTCCTCACACAATCTCCTCCATGTCACCCTCACCTCGGACGCCCAACTCGTCACTTCCCATCTGGGTTCCACTAGAGTGCCTGGACTGTCGCGTGATGTCCACAGTCGACCTTCTCAGTGTATGCCCAATCCATCTCCACTTCCCCCCACTGCATATTTGTTGGGCGATGGGTTCTTGGTTGGTGGTTCGTTCCCAGAGTGAGTTCCTTGTTGCTTATTCTTTCTCGCCTTCACATCTGATCTTGAGTAACGAGCCAGCGTAGGCGGCAGTTGTTGATGAATATCTGTAGTTTGTTGGAAATCCCTTTCGTAACGCGTCAAGTCTCTGAGCCATATTGAAGCACTGACTTAGCTGACTTAGTGTTGAAAATCAGGATGTTGTTCACGCACGCCTTATGCTGAGTGCAGTGCAGAAGATCTCCACACTGGTTTCAGGTTAATGAAGACGTGTCTTGCTTTTCCGATCCTGTCTGGCTTTGACGTCCTCGTCTGTGCCACCACCGCCTGTAGTTGAAATGATGCTGCCCTGCCTAGGTAGGTGAAAGAGGCTACTTCCTTCGAGTCCCTTCCGTTCATAGTGATTGGAGCTTGTTGGTGTTGGTTAGATATCTTCACCACCTCTGTCTTCTCTACACTCACTTGATGTTCCGTCTTCGCTGCCTCTTCTGTCAACTTGTTAGTTTTCGCGTGCAGATAGTCAAGTTTGTGTGACATTACACACAAGTCATCATTGGCGAAATCGAAATCTTCTAGGTTGTTTTCCGCGGTCCAGTCAGCGTATTCCCCTCTTCTCGTTCACCACTGTTTGTTGCATGATCTAGTCCACTACAATCAGGAATATCATGGGTGATAGTCGATAGCTTTGTTTCACTCCTGTCTTCACTTCACTTGAAAGGCATCACTGAGCTTCCCATTGTGAATTACTTGGCATGTGGCGTCTTCATATAGTTGTTGAATGAGGTTGATAAATGTTTGTGGTAATCCGTAGTGTCGAAGCAGTTTCCAGATTACTTCTCCGTAGACATTGTCGAATATATATACCTCAAGCGAACAGTGCCATTACAGCTAAAAGTTCAGTGATTTATATACATTTTAACGACCTTGACCAGGTAAAACAAAGCAGCATATTTGAAGTGTGAGATAGAGTAATCAGCAACCATGATAATAATAAGTAACACTGCACGGGGCGAAAAAGGTGCAAAAATAAGCTTTAAATTTTACAATGATAAGTTAGCTTTTCATCGTAAGATATCCTTCTGTTGCATTTTTCATCATTCATAATTGACAGTTGTTCGAAAAAAAGACACTATATATATGAATCTTGACTTCAAAGGTAATCTAGTTGTTAATATTCTGAAAAGAAGAGAAGGATTTTAAGTTCTCTGAAGAGCATTCGCTTTGGAGTAACTTTAAGTCACCATTTATACAATGGAAACCTTAAAGAAAAGATTTCACATCCGGCTACCACTATATGTGTGTATCAGTTCACCTGCTCCTTTGCAGCCGAGTACACCGGTCATAAGACACGGAAACTGTTGTAAAGGGTTCAAGAACACTACCTATTATGGCTAAAAAGAGGAAACAATGAATCACCAAGCCTAGTGAATATAGTATCTAAAATTCTAGGTTGTATAATTCTCCGATGCCTGAGAGAAGCTCGGGAACAGCAAGCCCGAAAAAACCAGGCAGGCTTTAGACCTGGCCGCAGGTATATCGACCAAATATTCACACTGCCCCAGGTCCTGGAACATAGGCACGCTTACAGACGCCCGACAACAGCTGTATTTCTCGACCTGAAGGTGGCATTTGACTCCGTTGATCGAGAAGTCTTATCGCAATGTCTCTCACTGAGAGGTATGCTGGGTTAGTACATCACCTTATTGAAGCCTCTCTACTCGAATACTTGTGGGCGTATTAGAACCTATGGTAAGATATCTGGGGAGCTGTGCTCGTCGAGTGGTGTTCGTAAAGGGTGCCCACTCTCTCCATTCTTATTCAATTCCATCATAGATATCCTCATGTAGGTCTCCCTCTCGTTACCTGATTACACAGAGATTGACCTGATCGTAGGAGAATTTTCGTTAGACCTGGAATACGCAGATCACACGGTCCTGTTAGGTGAAGACGCTGACAAGATGCAAAGTCTTCTGGACACCTTGAGTGGCAATTGGAGAATGTTCGGGGTGGGTTTCCCACCACTCAAATGCAAATTACTGCTCCAGAATTGGTCTTCAACGGTGCCACAGCTAACAATAGAGAGTGTAGTGGTCGAGTGTGTTGATTACTTCACTTACCTGGGAAGTAGGATCAGCCCCAGTAGCTCAGTGGTCGACGAAAGTTCTGCTCGATTGGCTTTTGCCAACTTACGCCACCTGTGGCGCCACCGTCATATCCGATTGTCTATTAAGGGTGGCGTGTACTGCACACCAGTCCAATCTGTTCTATTGTGTATGGCTGTGAAACATGGCAATTGAAGGTGGAAGACATGAGAAAGCTGGCTTCAGGTGTTTGACCACCGTTGCCTTCGTCGTATAGGCTGTAGTCCATGACGTCATCAGGTGATTAACGCAGAAGTCAGACGTAGAGTTTTTAAGGAGAAGAGGTAAGTCAGTTGACACGGTTGTGAACCTTCATCGACTGGGATGGCTGGTTGCGACATGTGTTACGTGTACCCAGTGGCCATCTGCCTCATCACACAATGTTGAACGAAGTAGGTTCAGGCTGGAAAAAGACTCTAGGCAGCCAGAGTAGAGTGTGGCATCAATGTATGAAGTGTTTGACTGTTGGTTTGAGCCATGTGGGGCGATGCAGACTGGGTGGTTGGGGTTGGTGGGACAAGACAAACCAGTGTGTGGTGAAGGCTGACTACAGGTGATCACATGGCTGAGAACCGATGTCAGTGGCGCAGATGTATACACACACATTATCCTCATGTTAACGACTCTATACGGAATCTCGCCATTTTGCCATCCTCCCTTTCTCTCTTTCTTTTAGTACTTTATATTACTTTTGACTGGATTTTCTTTTCTTCATCTTTCACTTCACTGCCTTTTCACTTGATGTACTGATATGAGGTGTGGCAAGTTGGACCGTTAAGCGGTAATGGCTGATCCTATGTTGATTTAGACGGATTGATGGATCTACAAGAAGTGTGATAATGGAATACCTAGTAGATACTGTTCATTTAGTTTCAACAATCGCCTCTGCACTGCACATCCGCCTGTGTTTTGCATCCTTGGGAGTCTGGCTATTCAGATAGAAAAGTCAGAGCTTTCAGTACAAAAGAGGCTTGTTCAACTCTAGCCCATTTAATGGTCTAGATCTTGAGCGTTTCTAAACGCTTCTCTCCTTCTAACTCTTTTTTCAATTCACATCTTATATATTATCAATTAGTTCTTGTTTCTATACAGACAAACAGAAAAAATCAGTGTAGAACCTTGCACACAACTGCATAACTTCAACTTGCCATACTTCACTCACAGTACCACACAAACAACACGTAAATACAAACAAGACTCATATCAAAATAGACAAACTTCTGTGAAACAATAAACAATTTCAAAAAATACCTTAGCACAAATATTCAAACTTTAAATGTCAAGGAGTGAATACATCCACCCCCATCATTCTCACCGATTCTCACACATGTCACCACCACCAAAACTCATCAACTACTTCACTACAATCATATCGCAGATCCCAAACACACAATCTACATCTCTCCACATAACTATCACCAACAGTCAGAGACTTCATCAACTCCTATCACATCTTCGTCTCGTCTCGCCACCCCTCAACCTTCTCCAAAACTAATCTTACTTCACCCAGTATCCCACATCGAAGTAAGCAATGGACAGCATAGACGTGCACACTGCATGCCCACTACAACTCATCTCAGTCAGCTAACCTTCACAACCTCATCAATCGACTTCCCTGTCTTGCCTATTGCCCATCACCTGATATCAACATTCTTCACACAGTGAGTCTATCAAACGCCACCAATGGTATGAAGACATCTGTTGTCAAAACCATGTAATCACTTCATTTCTTCTGCCCTAAATGGCCATTTCTCACAGCCGTATAACAGGACAGAACGGACTGCAGAACAGTACACTCGTCCTTTGATAGATAGTCGGATATTTTGTCAGTTGGTGCCACAGATGACGCATGTTAGCATACACCAAACGGTCCTACTGTATCCGGGTTAAAATCTCGTCAGAACACTGTAACCAGTGAACTTATTTGGAATAACACGAATTTAGATATAATCTGAAACACAAACTTACTTCTCCTTCTTGACAGAATTCTGCGCTACTGTAGAACGCAAGCCAGACACAGTGTTGTCAATTCCACCCGATCCACTGACCATTTTCATGACATCCTCACTGACCACTTCACCCTCAGCTTTCAAACGATCGACAAACTCATCAATACCTTTTGGACCACGGTGACCACCTAGCTGCATACCACTACGTTTGACTGATGGTAAGACACTTGTAACATTTGAAGTAGATAAGCCTAAACCGTCTGCGTTTCCATCCGCCAAACGATCCTTCATAACGATAACGCGCGGCTCATCTATCAGCATAAATTAAGAGAATATAAATGTTAAAGAACTATGAGGATTAAAAAAAATTGGACAGTATAATTAGCTAGCTGACTTAGAATTTCAGCTACGAATGTATCATTCAAATGACTGAAGGTTGATGCAAATACCATTGCATTCATTCAGCTTCATATAATCTGGATTATACGTTCAAAACCAGATGATGTAGTACGTATTGAGAGTTTAAGCTGTTTCAGTCTATAGTTTGACCAAGTGCCTGGATTATTCAAGTTAAAGAAAGTTTACAACTGATTTTTTTTGGAATGAAAACTGTGACATATGACTTTTTGACTGAAGTGCGCTTGTTGCTATTCATTACTGTGATGATGACTTTTCCCTTGGCTTCCTAATGGAACATAGGGCTTCAGTAGTAAGCCTCCATGGCACTCTCTTCTTTGCAGTCTCTAAAACCTGGCTCCAAGACTGCCCACAAGCTTTCATTTCTTCCTCACATCATCTCCTCTATGTCACCTTCACCTCGGATGCCCAATCCGTCGTTCCTCCTTTGGATTCCACTCGAGGGGCAGGCGCGTGATGTCCCCAGTCGGCTTTCTCAGTGCATGCCCAATCCATCTCCACTTTCTTCTGCGTTTGTTGCTATGACTGACACTAATGGATTGACAAAGATTAAATATGTGATCTAGAGTTTCAACTAATTCCTAATTTATTCAATCAGTAGTTTCAGATAAATTCAGCATGGAATCTCGCATACAGGTGTATCGCTTCACAACAGTATCTAAAACACAGATAGAAAAAAGTGAATATAACGACAGAGAACCTAATGGATATTTTCAAGCCCTAGAAAACATCAGAGAGTGAGTATATATGCGCTATTGTGACTAATTTTCAAGTATGCTACCAAGGATCTCCAACCATTGTTTACTATCGTTTGAGGACCCCAACCAGACAGCCTAGTCAGGCTAATCAAACATTTCATTAACCAATTCCACGTCTTAGTGTAACCATCGTTAGCCTTCTTCCTACCTAACCCTACCTCATGGCGAATGATGACAAGCACAACTCATGTCCTGGCCACGTTAATCGCTAAAAGGCTTATAGCTTCATTGGGTGACTTGTCTGGTAACCTTCGCCTAACCCTAACGTTGCACACAGAGTGATTCCAACACACGCCAACATTGCTATGAAGACACATCTGTTGTCGAAAACCTTCAACTTCTGAATATATTTTACCTTCAGAGGACACATTTCACAGTCATATCATACGACAAAACGAACTACAGTGCAGAATACTCAATGGCTCCATAGATCGGGTAAGTTAGTCAATGCAGATAGATCATTTTGTATCGCAACTGAAATTTTGTCAGCAATCACCCAGTTCGAGGTGATTCAACTCACCGAGTGAAGCAGTCCATGCACATTATTACTTCACTTCCCATCCTTAAACCGAAAGTACCCGCAGACTAGTCCTGAAGTATAATCTTATATTTGACAGATACCAACGCACACTTAAATTTCTGCTCAATAGGTTCAAAAAGACCGTGGATTTTGTCAGCTTCACTGTTCAATAGGAAAATTGGTGGTTAATCTGAACTGATTGGTTTCAACGCAGTACTTATGACGGACTGATATTAGTTGAAAAAGCATTGGACACTTGTTTCGTCCCAATTTGAGATTTCTTAGCAGTGGGTACACACAAGCCCGTAACTGTCATGGGTATGAACTGCTGAAGAGTTATACGTGGGGGTGAAACAGCAACCCAGTGCTTCCTCCAACTGATATCAGTTCGTGATGAATGCTACGTAATAATTTATGAAAGCATCTCAATACCACTTGAATTTCAAATTCAAGATATGTTCATCGACAATGCCACTGGCCACAATTACACCGACTACGTTAACCGGTATCCAAGGAATCTAGATGTAACTAATCTAAGGTGAACTGGTCGAAACACTTCAGTTTCATCCCGTATCTAAATAATCCCATAAACAAAAAATGTAACACTTTAGTATGGAGTTTAATAGTCTTTACAATTTCATAAATATACACAAATAGCCGAAGGCTTTATATTTTGTTTGTGCTTTGAAGTTTCTTTAGCAGTTGGATAGGCTGGACCGAGGAAAAGAACCTAGAAGATTTCGACTTCGCCAATGATGACTTGTGTGTAATGTCACACAAACTTGACTATCTGCAGGCGAAAACTAACAAGTTGACAGAAGAGGCAGCGAAGACGGGACTTCAAGTGAATATAGAGAAGACACGGGTGATGAAGATACCGCACCACCACCACCAACAACAACAACAAACTCCAATCACCATCAACGGGAGAAACTTAAAGGAAGTAGCCTCCTTCACCTATATAGGTAGCACTGTTTCAACTACAGGCGGCACAGACGAGGATGTCAAAGTCAAAATCGGAAAAGCAGGACAGGTGTTCATTAACCTGAAACCAGTGTGGAGATTTTCTACACTGCATTCAGCATGTGGAACAAGATCCGGGTTTTCAACACCAACGTCAAATCAGTGCTTATGTATGACTGAGAGACTTGGAGCGTTACGAAAGGGATTTCCAACAAACTACAGATATTCATCAACAACTGTCGCCTACGCTGGTTCGTTATTCAAGATCAGATGTGAAGGTGAGAAAGAATAAGCAACAAGGAACTCACTCTGGGAACGAACCAACCAAGAACCCATCGCCCAACAAATATGCAGTGGAAGGAAGTGGAGATGGATTGGGCATACACTGAGAAGGCCGACTGTGGACATCACACGTCAGTCCAGGCACTCTAGTGGAACCCAAAACGGAAACGATGAGTTGGGCGTTCGAAGTGAGGGTGACATGGAGGAGATTGTGTGAGGAAGAAATGAGAGGTTGTGGGCAGTCGTGGAACCAGGTTCAAAAAATTTCAGAGAGGAGAGTGTACTGGAAACGTGCTAGTGAAGGCGTATATTGCACTAGGAACCCAAGGGATTAATAATAATAATACATGAATAGCCAGTGAAAAATCGTTAGTCAGAATACACAACTAATGAAAAGGTTCACCGTGTGAACTCTATGTGAAAAACATCTATTTCAGCAATGAACTTTCAACCAATAGATGATGGATTTGAACGTCGCTCGACCTAACGAGGTCTGTAATAAACCGGTAGTACTATTAACTCTTGAAAAAATGTGTGGCTTATTCCTTAAAGCACAAACCTGGACATAGTTTCTCAGTTCCATTTCATTTCACAATATTTCTAGAAATTTTATAAAAAATATCACACCTCAACAACAAGAATCAAACAACTTTATTATGGATTTAAGTTGATTGATTCCCTTTTACAAAAAAAAACTTATTCTGATATTAAACAGTATATAAAACAAATTCAGTATGCCAATATTGAGAATAGAGGATCGAATTACTGTACACAGATTTCTCAATGAATTATCTAAAGAAATAGGCATCACTAATATAAACAAAGTACCAAGCATTAGTGTAAAACGGTCCAAGTTGTCACACTTCATACATTAGTAGATCAAGTAACAAAGCGATAAGATGAAGGATGAAGAAATAAAAATCGGTCAAAAGCAGTAGAAAGCAGTAAAAGAGAGGAAGAAGGGATGATAAAATACTGAATTCCGTATTACAGTTAAAATGAAGATGGATCTACACCTTTGACATCGATTCAGGGGCAATATCACCAGAAGTCTTTAACCACTGGTTTCTAATGTCACATGAACCCTGGTCGGTTAGTCTACATTTGATGAAATGTACCCATTTATTCATTCACAACAACAAGGCATATATCAGAGAAGAAGAAGCATCTTCTTTTCAACGGCATCATCATCATCATCATCATTATCAACATAGGACCACGCATTACTGCGTAACGGTCCGAGTTGCCACACCTCATATCAGCACATCAAGTAAAAAGGTAGTGAGGTGAAGGATGAAGATAAGTGAATGCAGTCTAAAGAAATATGAAGTACGAGAAGAAAGGAAAGAGGAGTGACAAAGTGGTGAGATTCCGTATAGCGTTCTTAAGATGAGGATAATGTTTGTGGGGATACATCTGCGCCACTGACTTCGGTTCTGAGCCATATCACCTAGAGTCTCCAACCACTGGTTCCTCTTGTCCCACAGACCCCAACCACCTAGTCTGCATCGTCCTACATGGCTTAAACCAACAGTCAGAGACTTCATACATTGGTGCCATGTTTTAGTCTGGCCACCTCGGGCCTTTTTCCAGCCTGGACTCACCTCAGCCAACATTGTGTGACGAGGCAATCGGTGACTTCATTATCAAGCTGTACAGTCATATTTATACTCAGTAAAGTGACAGATAATTGCACTAAAAAGAGAGTTGCTCAGTCGATATGCAAAATATACAATCGGTGGAGGTGGTGATGTTTGTTCAAGTGGAAGAGATAGAAAATGGATCATTGAAAAAGGAGGAACGAATTGAAAACAAATGGTGAGATAAGCGACAAGTGCTGACAAAGAATTGTAAAACGGGGATAATTAAACTGAAACGTGTACAATAGGTCAATGATTAAGGAATGAAGTGATATTAAAGAGTGAAGTATGGTTCAAGTGTTGTCAATAAAGTGAAAAATTGGTGATAATGATGATGATGATGTAATAAAAGAGAAGTATACCAAAGTGAAGTGAACTGAGATTGACAAAATCAACAGAATGAATTGTTAGATCCAAGGTAGAGAAAGTGGTTGCATTCAAAAACGTTTTATGAAACCACTTTCTCTACCTTGGCCCTAACAATTCATTCTGTTGATTTTGTCAATCTCAGTTCACTTTGGTATACTTCTCTTCTATTATCACCAATTTTCACTTCATTGACAACATTTAAACCATATTTCACTCTTTAATATCATCAATTCATTCCTTAATCATTGACCTATTGTACACGTTTCAGCTTAACTATCACTATTTTACAATTCTTTGACAACATGTATCTCCTATTATCTCACCACTTGTTACAGACTCCTTCCTTTTTCAATGACCCATTTTCTATCTCTTCCACTTGAACAAATACCACCACCTCCACCGATTGTATACTTTGCATATCGACTGAGCAACTCTCTTTTTAGTGAAATTATCTGTCACTTTACTGAGTATAAATAAGACTGTACAGCTTGATAAGGAAGTCGTTGAAAACAAATGCTTCTCCTTCGCTGATACATGCCTTAGTCTACATTTTCCTACATGACTCAAACCAACAGGCAAGGACTTCATGCACTGATGACATGTTTTAGTCTGACCGTATCGAAACTTTTTCCAGCCTGAACATACTTCGGCCAACATTATGCGATGAGGCAGACGGTGATTAGACATATGTTCCAGTCATCTTAGTCGATGGAGGTTCACGACCTTATCGACTAACTTTCTTTTCTCTAAAACTTCACATCTGATTTCTGCGTTACTCATGTGGTGACACTACGAAGCATAACCTGTGATACGAAGCCAACGATGGTCGAACACCTGAACTCTTCTCATGTTCTATACCTTTAATGGTCATGTATAATGAAATAAACATATATAATCGGGAAAATGTCACAAACATTGTTTGATTTAGTTGCCTACTAAATAAATAAAAAGACTGACTTAGATCATTTTCCAATCTACGCATGTAATCCGTTAGATTTAGACCAACTTTCGATTTTCCACTTTCCATTCGAGCTTGTTGAAGCTCACGTGCCCTTTGTTTCATTTGTTCCTTTGCATCACGTTCTTTGTTCTGAAAATAAACAAACAAAACCAATGGTTAATTAACGTTTATAAAAGATAAACTGTACTAGAACTAGTCAACAATAATGCACTATTCAACTTGACTAGCTCAAATCTACTAGTGAAGGTCGCTAGGTGGATATACCATAGACTGGTTCTGTTCAGTTCTTTCAATCTCCAAAAGATGACACAACAGAGGAAATTGAAATCTTTTCTCGGTCGATTTTTTGATTGCATAAAAGCTGCACAATTGACATATATATATATACATATATATATATATATATATATATATATATATATATATATATATATATATATGTATATATATATATGCCTTTATTGAACAATAATTAGGGAGAAAACGGCAAAAGGGCGATACAAAAGAATAATCCCCCAGTAACAACCTAGACGAATAACATGTGTACGTTAAAAATCAACCAATCAGTTGATATCAACATAGGATTAGGCATTACTACACAAAGGTCCAACTTGCTACACCTCATAACAGCACATCAAGTAACAAAGTGATAAGATGAAAGAAAAATCGATCAAACGAAATAAAAGCAGAAAGTAGCAAAAAAGAAGGAAGAATAAGAAACATGAGAGCAAGTATATTGGTTAATGTGAGGATAATGTTTGTGTGTGTGTGTGTGTATGCATTTGCGCCACTGACATCGGTTCTTAGTCATATCACCTAGAGTCTGCAACCACTGGTTTCTGCTGTTATGTGAACCCCAACCGGCTGGTCTGCATCTTTCTACATGACACAAACCAACAGTCAGACTTCATGCACTGATACCATGTTTTAGTCTGACTACTACAAGACTTTTGCCAGCCTGAACCTACTTCAGCCAACATTGCACGATTAGGCAGACGGTGATTAAATATAGCGCAACACATATCCCAGCATGAAAAAACAAAACATCCTAACAAAGAATTTCTGTTTATCATGATGGTAAGAAAGAAGCTAAGATCCTCAAAGAAAAAGAAATCTACCACACCCTTACGTAAATCCATACAATAATCGTGACACAAAGTGAGCAATGTTACCACTTTTGTAAACAGTAAGCTTCGATTACATCACTCGAACACTTGTGGGCATGTTAGAGCCCATGGCAAGTTGTTCAGGGAGCTATGCTCATCAAGTGATGTCCGTCAAGGATACCCATTACCCCTATTCTTATTTAATTTTATCATAGATATTCTTATGGAGGTTTCCCTCTCGTCACCAGGTTACACATACGTTGACCCAATCACAGGTGAATTTTCTTAAGATCTAGAATATGCAGATGACATAGTCCTGTTAGGTGAAGACGCTGACAAAATGCAGAGTCTTCTGAACACTTTGAGTAGCAATTTGAGAATGTTTGGGATGTGATTTTCACCGCGGCTAACAATAGAGAGTGAAGTGGTTGAGTGTGTTGACCACTTCACTCGCCTGGGAAGTAGGATCAACCCTGGTGGGTTAGTTGCCGATGAGATCTCTGCACGGATACAAAAGGCTCGATTGGCTTCTGCCAATTGACGCCACCTATGGCGCCGCCGTGATATTCGTTTGTCGCGTGTACTGCACAGCAGTCCAATCTGTTCTACTCTATGGCTGTGAAACATGGCCATTGAAAGTGGAGGATACAAAAAAGCTTCAAGTGTTTGACCACCGTTGCCTTCGTAGTATAGGACGTATTCCGTGGTGTCAACACGTGAGTAATGCAGAAGTCAGGTGTAGAGTTTTGGGAAGAAGAGGTAAGTCAGTTGACGACGTTGTGAACCTTCATCGACTGAGATGGTTGGGACACGTACTACATATGCCTAGTCACTGATTGCCTCGTCACACAATGTTGACCAAAGTAGGTGCAGGCTGAAAAAAGGCTCGAGGTGGCCAGACTAAAACATGGCACCAATGTATGAAGTCTCTGACTGTTGGTTTGAGCCATGTGGTGGGGGGATGCAGACTAGGTGACTGGGGTCAGTGGTACAAGAGGAACCAGTGGTTGGAGACCGACTCTAAGTGATATGGCTCAGAACCGATGTCAGTGGCGCAGATGTATCCCCACAAACATTATCCTCATTTTAACAACGCTATACCGAATCTCACCATTTTGTCACTCCTCTTTCCTTTCTTCTTGTACTTTATATTTCTTTAGACTGCATTCACTTATCTTCATCCTTCACCTCACTACCTTTCTACTTGATGAACTGACGTGAGGTGTGGCAACTCGGACCGTTACGCAGTAATGCCTGGTCTTATGTTGATAATGATTGATTGATTGATATACATACAAGACAGATGGACAAAACTGCAGACCAAGTGAATGTTTAAACAATTTTATCCTTATCCAAGCCAACATATCAGTCAGTTAATGCACCCTATGGGTACAAGTATCCATAGAGTTTGCGAGAAACCACCAGAATACTCCTACCGATGAAGCATTTCAGTTATACTTGAAGTCAAGTATGCGTAGGATACAACTTACAAAATGCGAAATGATTCTTAGAAAAACCATTAGATATGTATAGACACAGTGAAAGTGTATGATTATTGTAAATAATAACTAATGGTATGGTAGGTTCCATAGACAGAGAATACATACCTCTTGAACAGCACGGAAGACACGTTCATCATGTGAATCCATTTCTGTATATGTTCGTATTTGTGACAGATTCACATCTTCCCTATAGCCTAAGGCTATGACTTCATCGAAAGCGAAAATAAGTTGGAAGGCGTGTGTTATGATATCATTTTCATCTGTACCACAACCATATTCTGGTATCTAAAGGAAAAAATAACAACAATAATACGTTGAATAGATAACAAACAAAAAAGTTACGAATAATTTACACACTCCTTAACATACCACTCGTGAAAAAAGTCGTAATGTCTCCAAATCCTCAAGTATATTACTTGCTTTTGTAGTTATCAAGAGAACGTACAATTTCTCCAAAGGCTGATAAACATATCGTACAGATTCAGTTTCAACAAAAGTATGCTGTTTGCCTAGAAATGAAAGAAAACCAATTAGTCTTTCAAGTTGGTAAGAATGGAGATTTTTATGAAAAATATTCAGTATATCGGGAACAAATGAAATATATTTCCAAGTGATTTAGTTAGTAAATTTAACTGCTCAACAGAATCCTACACGTTAGTTACAGTTTCAAGTCAGCTGATATAGTTGTGATCTGATGTTACACAAATGAGCGATCCACCACGTGTCCTGAACTCAATAGCCCGTAAATTACTTTGCAAACACTGGTCCAAGTTTTTGTCAACAATGACCTGTACCTTCATTATACCAATCAGTTCGTCAGGCGTAAACGTTTAGGTACAATAAGAAACAGATTTGATAAGGTTGTGAATCTTCATTGACTCAGATGGCTAGTACATGTGTTACGCATGCAATGTTAGCTGTCGTAGACTTCTATCGTTCATCCAAATCAACATAGGACCAGCCATTACTGATATTGTTGTCATTGCTACCATAATTATTACCACTACTACTGTTAATATTCCTATCATTACCACCAGCGTTACCGTCACCGCTACTATTGCTATCAATATCCCTATTACTGTCTTTCTTATCATTACTATCATTATTATAATTATCATTATTACTACTATCGTTAACATCGTTATTACTATTAACACTCATCAGTCCATCCAAATCAACATAGGACCAGCCATTACCGCTTAACGGTCCAACTTGCCACACCTCATATCAGTACATCAAATGAAAAGGCAGTGAAGTGAAAGATGAAGAAAAGAAAATTCAGTCAAAAGTAATATAAAGTACTAAAAGAAAGAGAGAAAGGGAGGATGACAAAATGGCGAGATTCCGTATAGAGTCGTTAACATGAGGATAATGTGTGTGTGTGTGTGTGCATACATCTGCGCCACTGACATCGGTTCTCAGCCATGTGATCACCTCTAGTCAGCCTCCACACACTGGTTTGTCTTGTCCCGCCAACCCCAACCACCCAGTCTGCATCGCCCCACATGGCTCAAACCAACAGTCAAACACTTCATACATTGATGCCACACTCTACTCTGGCTGCCTAGAGTCTTTTTCCAGCCTGAACCTACTTCGGTCAACATTATGTGATGAGGCAGATGGCCACTGGGCACACGTAACACATGTCGCAACCAGCCATCTCAGTCGATGAAGATTCACAATCGTGTCAACTGACTTACCTCTTCTCCTTAAAACTCTACGTCTGACTTCTGCGTTACTCACTTGGTGACACCACGGAATATGGTTGGGTTAGAAAAGTGTTAAAAGTGGCCAGACTCAAACAATATCAATTCACAAAACTTTTGACTATTGGTCTGGGCCGTGCAAGAAGGTGCAGGCTTTTTTCTCGTTGGGGTTCATTTGATAATCAAAATCGATGGTCAGAGATTCTAGGTGATATGACTTAAAATCGACCACAGAGGTGCAGATGTATCTACACATAATTCTCATCTTATACTGAATTCTTGTCCAATTCTTTTTCGTTTTCTTTCCATGACTCTGCTACCTTATCTTTCTTCCCTATTTCTTCATCTTTCATCAAGATGATATGGCTCAGAACCGATGTCAGTGGCGCAGATGTATACACATTATCCTCATCTTAACGACGCTATACCGAGGCTCACCATTTTCCCATTCTTCCTTTCTCTCTTTTTTCTCGTACTTCTAGTTTCTCTTGACTGAATTTTCTTATCGTCATCTTGCACCTCACTGCTTCTTTACTTGGTGTACTGATATGAACTGTGACAACTCGGACCGTTACGCAGTAATGCCTGGTCCCATGTTGATAGTGATGATGATGATATGCAGTACTGCCAGGTTCCGCGTTGACTCTGACTGACTGGACCATTCAGTCAGATAGACTACAAGAAAGACATCCATGCTACAGGTAAATGGCTTACCAAAATATTCGCTGTTTACGATATTTGCACATCGATCTTACTACATTATAATAAAAGCGATAACACAACAATTTATTTCAAACTTGTGTGCTTAACCAAGTTTGATGTTAATATGGTACTATCTAGTTACTCAGTTCGAAGCAAGTTGAATGAGTTCAAACCCCCATCGGTAGATGGATACGTGAATCACAAACTATTAACAAATGATGCACCTCAACTGGATGCAGTTATCAACTACGCTGAGTCACATAAGTTTTAGGACACTATTCAGCCACCCAGGTAGTAAAGTGGGGCGGGGTTAGGCTTATAGACTCACTGGTTGAAAGTCGACTGCTTACACTAATGAGTTACATTTCCACAGCTGCAAAAAAATATAAGAGTATATGGATGACACCATCATCTGCGAAAACAGTAATCTTGAAGAAACACTACGAAAGTCTAATGAATGTCACAAGTCAATTAAATCCACCAATTCCTCAACGTTCTGTTGAGAAGAAGACATCATGGTTCCCTGAGGAGGGTGACTTACAGGAAACAAACCTGGAATAGAAAACACATTAATTTTCATATCTGGGTCCCACTAGTCAAGAAAAGGAATTCGATTCACTATGCACGAGAATTAGAAGAACTTGTCCGGACGATGCGGTAAATGAGAAGCTGGAAGTACTTCGAAGAGTGTTAACCGAAAATGGTTATCCTTCAAGATTCATTGAGAGGAATATGAAGTCCAAGCATTTTTAAGAAAGAACATCTACGCTTTCAAATAAGACAGTATTTATGCATATTGCGTTTAAGGAAGATACATTGGCGGAGGTACCCAAGAATCAATTGTGTAAAGCACAGAAAAAAAACCTGATGAGTTGGTGACAGATGACATTTCAGCACGGATAGAAAAGACCAGATTAGTTTTAATCACATTAGACTGTTAATTTAAGAAAGCATACCGTGGCACAGTGTAATTTACTGGATGGAGTTTCAAACAAAATCTGTTAGTGATACTCATATCATCAACAGTCTTTAACCACTGATTTTTATCGTCTTGGAGACGCCAGCCCGTTAGTCTACACAACTGAAATAAAAAATGTCAGACTGGTGCTAAGCCACTTTAATGAACTGCTCAAAGCAATCCTACTTGGATATTCAGTAGTACCTAAAGCTCCTTAATAAACTTAATTCAAACAGACACACTTGTTCGTTTAGGAAAGAATCACAAATACTACTACTCCGAACCATTAATAATGACTCTCAACCAATATCGCCTGTTGCTCATGAGTACATCGAACATAATGGAGTATAAGGTAGACTGCATCACTCAGGCTTGACATTAGCAGGCTGGTCGGTCCCCAATCTGTGGCGGAAATAGGAAATAAAGGAAGTAGACGATGATAGGAAGGCTATACATAAAAGGCTGGATAGGATAAAAAAAAAACGACTTTAAAAGGGGGATTTGGCTTCCAGGTTGGCTAAGGCGATTTAAAAGACGGAAAGGAAACGATCAAGAGGAAATGGAGTAAGAAGAAAAATCGGTTACATTTCCCCACGATTGTCGCCTTATTTTCGTTTTTGGAGTTTAGGTAGTGTCACCTAACCTGTACTTTTGCCAACATAGATGAAATAGTCCATCAAGATGTAGTCAAGTTAAAACGTTCACATGTTCGTCATTATTTTAACAGATGCAATTCAATATTACTCTTGACAGTCATGCTTAGGCCATCCGAATATACTAAACAAGCATGTGCTCATTTTGATCTCTTTATAATTAAAAACAACAGTGATAGGAAACCAACTTCCACTTTAAATACTGCGAGAAGTAATAATCTATGGGCAAACTAAGCGTAAAAACTGACCTGTACCAATGAGTTTTGGGAAGGTCGCTATCAGCCCTTCGATTCTTGCCTTCGTCATCTCAACAAACTGTCGAGACACCAAAGCTAACAAGATCGAATGTCAAAATAAACAGAACAACAAACCTTTTCCATCTCGAGTACATATAGAAGCCGCCAACAAAACCTAAACTCTTGGACGTGATACGTGAACAACTCACCATCCCGCCAACCTGTCAGACACGAAACTGACCGCCCGACCTTGAAGTTAAATGGTCCAAATGGTTGCTGACGAAAAAGAAAAATTTTCGCTCAACTGTCTTCTGCCTCTACAATCAGTGGATCGTGGATTCCAGTGCTTATTAACCCGTTTTCAAACAAACGGCGGAAAAGGTGGCGGTTGAAATATGAAAATTGAGAACAGTATCCAATACCTGCTTAAGGAGCTTGTGTAAACCAGTTGACTTCTTCGTGCTCTGTTCTTTGTCCCACAGGACGGTTCCAGGTCTTTAGCGGATTCTGATTTAGTCGATGCAGCTACTCGTCTGCTATAGCCGTGGTATGCAGATGCGAAGTTTGAGTGTTGGTTGTTTTGCCTGAGACTGTGGTGCAGTTGGGCTGTTCACATGTCCAGCTGCCAGACAGTTGTTTGGTCTAGCCGTTAATGAGAGTTTTAGCTATGGAAGAGATAACCTAGGAAGACTAATGTATGTGAGTAAAAGACAAAGAAAACTGAAAACTGTAATCTACTTACACCCAAGTAAGACAAATGGGGGCAAAGAAGTGAAGAACTTAGATAAGCGAGGCTAAGTCATAGCAAGTGAAAGGGATGAAAAGGGGTTAAATGATTACAGCAGGAAGAACACTAGTGTAGGGGTAGCATATTTGAAATGGTGTGACAGCAGCTGATTTCTTCGGTTTAGATGTATGTAAACCGTGGGCCTCTTCATTACTATCTAAACTTTTCCCGGAAATTTCAACAAATGGGGGGGAGACTATCTCTGGTGGCAATCCATTTCAGTGCCCGCAGACTCAAAGGGTGAAGACGTGTGAACGCACACAAGCTTTTGACCTCTGGTGGGAAATTTCCACAGGGTTTCCGCGAGGATCACCATAATGGTCACTCGATAGTATTCCTCTGTTGGGGTGATTCTGGTTATGCAGCACTTTGTGAGCCACTATCAAATTCCTCACAGCCTCCCTAACTAAGACAGTATAGGCCAAGGTTTCCCGATCTGCCATCATATGGTTTTCGTTGCGTCCCAACAAACCCGCCTCTGAACTTTCTTCGGTAGGTTTATGCCCCTTTTCAGCTGTAGCGGAGCGAAGACTTTATTGACCTCCGATTGGGGTCGTATGTAGGTCCTGTAGAGTCTCAAAAAGAGCTCTAGGGTGAAGATAACTAGTTGTTTACGCACGAAGTGCAGTACACCGTATGCTTTTGTGGGCATCTGATGGGTAATTGGAACTGATTTCCAGTCCCTCATTCACCACTAAACCTAGGTCTTTTTCTGTAGCGTTATGAGAAAGATAGAAACCACAGAAGGAGAGGGCTACTTTTTGTGGATAACGAGTGCGGAAAAACATGGACCGGCATTTATCCAGGTTAAATGCCAGTTCGTTATTTGTCGCCCACTCCTCTAGTATTCTGAGGTTGTTCCGTAGCGCACTCGATCCCGTTTCCAGTGTTACTCCCCTGGAAAAATTGATGTCGCCGGAGCGGAGGAGAACTGGAGAGCTGGTATGCAGTGGAAAATCATCCACGAATGCTGGGAACAACAAGGGGCTCGAAGTTGCTCCCAGTGAGACACCGGACAATGATATTCTGTAGGTTGAGTAGACCCCATTGATCTTCTTGCAGGACTACCCACTGTCTAGGTAGTTCAGCAGCCATCATAGCACCTGGCCACGGACACACAACCCAGCCATTTTGTATATTAGGATGGTGTGCGGGACTGTGCCAGAAGATTTGGCGATATCCGGAAGAACCATGTGGACAGAGACCTTGAAGTCCCAGCATTCTGCCCAGTGGCCATGGGACATCAAGAGGTTGAAAGCACAGGGCCTACCCTTTCGGAAGGCTTGTTGAGCATCACTGAGCACTTGCTTTGTCTCCTGATGCGGTCTTCTATCACGCCTTCCATAACTTTTGATGCTACTGGCAAACGTGCTATGGGCAGATAACAGTTCGAATTCGGTCTGTCTCCTCTTTCGAAGATGAATGAGGCGATGGCCCATTTCCACCCCTGTGGGAGCCTTTATTCGTCCGAGGAGTGTTGGAAAAGATTGCAGAGTGGGACAGTTGGGGCACTCGCACATCGTTCCAACAAAAGTGGGCGAATGTCGCCGCCCCCTGGGGATTTAGCTTCGACAGCTTGTAGAGAACAAAGGCACTAGTTATCTTTACTTCGTATAACTGCTGCGTCGGATGACGTTGAGGGCTGTTCCGGAAGTGAGTATGCACGCTTTCGTGATAGAATCACAAGCTGTGTCAGAGGTGGTGCTTAAAACTGTGGCGATCTGTCCAGATAGGTGTTCTCTGTTCGAACATGTGATGACGCTTACTCCTCAGCCTGTAGAATTTCCCTTCGCCATGAATCGGTACACGTTTTTGGGGTTTACCTCAAGCTTCTTAGTGAGGCTGATGTGGAACGACCTTCTGTCACCCCACGCCCCGATGTTGTGTCGATTTCGTACAGCTGTACATGCGTCCTGATCATACTCTTCTCTGAAGAGCCTCCATTTATGCCTTGCTCACCTACTGACTTTCAGGAGGCGTTCGGCCTCTCGTTTTAGCCGTGAAATCCGCTTTCTGGGTGCTGTTACCACCAATGAGACGTTTCCAGAAATCGCCGCCTAGATAATATCTCCTAGTTCCCAGTGCCGGTCAACCAATAAGGAGAGCCAGTTTACTGACCATGGAGCTTTCGATAAGCATCGATTCACCTCGTAGTTTGCCCTGTTGTAAGCTGATTGCCAAGTCGAACGCTACCATAGCATGATCTCTGCTTCCAAGAGGAGTTTGAACATCGACGTTTTCAACTAGTAGATGACTACTAGTCAGTAGGTAATCCAGTTTGCATGGTTAACCATCTGACCCCCAGCGGGTATCGTCGCTAATTTTTTCATGCAACCCAGCCATCTGGATGGCATTTAACAGGTTACGATCAAACTCCTGGCTCGGTATCATGCTGCCTTGCTCCAGGCTGAGAGCTGGGACGTTGAAGTTTCGGCTGTTAGCACCTGATCGTATCCCATAACCGACACTGTGGATATTACCTGAAGTAACTCATGGTTGCGTTCTACATTGCCATTGGGGGACCCATAGACTCCTCTATCCAAGTACTTGATGTGCTTGATCGTGAAGTGACGCCAGATCGAGTATGGGAGCTCCGTCAATACAGTGTCAGTATCCTGTTCACTTTTGAACCGAGCATTCACGCACATCGTAAGGCCACCCTCCGTCTTTGTGTGCCCTGTCCCTCCTGAACAAAATCATGTCATCTATAGTAACTTCGGTATTGTTGATGTCCGATGATAATCATGTTTCCGTCAGGATTATCATTTTAGGAACAAGGTCGGAACACAGAGCTCGGAGATCTGATATTTCACATCGGAGTCTTCTCAAAATGCTGTGAGGGCATATGAAGGCGCTTGTCGTAAGCTTAGATGCCTCTGAGTTGACTAGTAGCACAGGTTTGGATGTGATGGGGGCCAACTCCAGTGGAACCAGCCCAGTTAAGTTTCTTCCCAGGTTGATTGATGCAGTCAGTGCTGGGTGGAGGTTGCTGGTCTAACCCTCAGGTAGTCAGCGCAGGGTGATGGCGACTTGGGCACATAGAATAACTGCTGTTTGCTGTTGTCGCAGCATTCCCAGTCTGCTTTTAAAGCAACAAACGTTCCCACTCGCGGTGCTCTTGACTTTTTACCGCGTCTTTAGTACTATGGTGGGGACATCCGGGAGTTGAAGTTGACGGCCATTAGTCTAGGTGAGATCGTAGTTATCAGGTGTGAGGGGCGTGGCAGCCCACTGATTGCCACTGCTGTGACCCCACTTAGCGCCATCCGAGCCGATAGCCACTCCCACCGTTGGACGTCATGGCCATACTTATCACCTGGGGTAGCGGTTGCCAGTTCAGGTATTGCATGTATGGTCATTGTCGTTGGTCATCGCGGACCAGCTGCTCCCCGAAATATCTTTCTTGACGCCTGTGATCGGTCAGGTCTAGCTCCAATGCTGGACTATCCGTTGGTAATCAGGGTTTGTGACGGTAAGAGGAACCTCTTGGCTTCTCTGGTTGAGACTAGGGTCGCTCTCATCGGGGAAGGCGCCCCTGGGGGGTGAGTGAGTGCCATTGTATAGTCCATATGGTTTTGCCCCGAAAGTGCCTAGACCTACCATGTCACAAAGGGAGTCCCACTGTTGCCTTTCAAACGTGTCCTTATGCTCCAGAAGGCTATCGTTGCAGACAGAAACGTCAAATACGATGACGGGGCCGGATCGCTTGGCGATGCTCACATTATTTGGCACTATGGGTGCACTTTCACTGATAATCCGAACTTTCTTCCTACTTTAACCCATTTATAATGTTGTCCACTGGTGACCGTTGATGATGTGTTTCCGGGCTTGGAGTGGATGTGGTTACCATTGGTGTAGTCATTCTTTTGTTCAGTTTTGGCCTGCTCAGGTCCGTGACCTTCGGTGGGCCGTTACTGACAGCCTTTGGAAAATGAACCTCTTCCAAAGTAGTGGTTTGAGCGGATACCCGCTTTTGGCGGTTGCTGGGAGTTTACCAGTCACCCCAAGTGAGTCTTGAGCTAAGTGAGGTCTCAGAGGGTAATGTGGGCAAACGAACTGGAACCACGTGCATAGATGGCGCCTCATAAAAGCACAGTGTCGAGTTGGTACCGTTGTGTCACATTGGCGGTGCACCCATTTGTTGTAGCTGTTGCACTCAAAGGCCGCGTCACCTTTGGTTACAGTGAGAGCGCAGGTGTGACGGTCGTCGCCATGCCCATGAAGTTTCTCCAGATGCTTCAATCTTACTCTGACGTTCCCGACCGTTGGTGCTAGGTGTAGCAGGGGGTCTGCGTTTACCTGACTGAGGGCACTAGCATTTACAGTTATGTAAGGATTGGTGGTCCGGCTAATTTCAAGTGTTGCAAGCTGTGACCGTTAGGTTGGGCTGGACCTAGTTGGTGTGAAAGTGTCACTAAAAGCTTT